ATCCAAAGAAAAATATATTAGATATTTGGTACTGTTAATATGCCATTCAAATGGGAATTATATTATAAGCAAAATCATTAACTTTAAGACTCCTGGCAGATATTGTCTTTTCTTTCTAAAACCTGATTTAGTAGGTTTTTTAGTGAGAAAATTGGAAGAACATATGCTTCAATGAACTCATATACTTCATAGTTATACTTACAATCGTGAAAATGTGACTTTCTATGAAAATACAATATGTAGAAACTTTATCTCTGCAAAATTACATTAGTATTAAATTAGAAGGAAGCATTTAAGCCATCATTCCACTACCTCCCAGAGTAGTACATTAAATTAAATGTATCCCCAAATATATATTTCTCTATATAACTGCATCAAATGACAGAGGAAAAATTACCACCAATTTTTCTTTATCAACCTTTTGTTAAAAAAATACTTTAATCTTCTAAAATACAATTTTCTATAATTTTAAAAATACACTTACAATACAGCCAAAGGATAGAGTTACAATTTTAGACCAGCAATTTCATTTAAAACTACAGTGGCAAGGAACTTGGAAAAAAACTTAAGAAAACCTTTAAATTTATTTTTTAATCTCTAAAGATTTCTAATTATTATATACTTAGTATATTGCTATTTTTAATGGTAAATTTATGAAAATATTCAATGTATCTGATGAACCTGCATATTGAATTTAGATTTACTCTCTGTTAAAGAAATTCAATAAAATAAATAGGCCAACACATAACAAATGTATTCATTATATGATAAGTTTTATCCAGTAATTCCTCAAGGACAATACTCCTGAGAACACACACCAGATCAAATTATCTTCTTCCTATTAGTTATATCTGAGATTTTAAAAGCCCAACCTCATAAACTACAAAAGAAGACATGGTGTGGCTGGATATTGTGCAGGATAAAGAGGAACATTACATCTGAAGGATTTAATGGACATTGGTCTCACATTATGTCCCAAACATAATGGCAAAAAGAAATAGTTTACTTTATAAGTTACTGGTCAGGAAACTGAATTTCTCAGAATATACAGAATTGGATTTTAGATCGCCTTTTGTAAATTAGATACAAGTCATCTAAAGTTATTTATGACTAAGTTCTATGAATTTCAGTTGTAGTTAGGTGGCCACTGTATATTAGAAATATCTCCAGTATTGCTTTTATAATGGCATTAAAAACATTAACAGAATCCTTATCTTGAACGAGTTATAATAACAACTGAAAATTTTTTTTCATGAAAATTGTTTGTGCTTTATAATTATGTCTAACACATAATGTCCCAGAGGACTGGACAGTCACATTAAAATGCAGTATAAATATATACAGTCTTTTATTTTTTCGCATTTACATTCTAAATTATATTACAACTTTCTAACTTCTGACATAAATAGTGATTGCAATCCTTTGCGAACATTAAGCAATTCTTCTTCATGCTGTGATAAAAAATAAACATAATTTATTTTTTTAAATAATTTCCTAAAAACTCTGTTTAAAATTACATAATGAATACAGAATTGAATGTGTATATGATGAAAAGATAATAATATTTACCATTTCCTTAAGAAATTTATCTTGAATCCCATTAATATCTTCTTTCAAAAAATGTACCTAAAATGCATCCAAAATAATTATTTACTTTGAAGCAAACTTTAATCTATAATTGATAGCAAGGGTAAATCAATAGCTTTACAGTGCTTCCAACACACAGTCATTTCAGAGTTCTGTGTTGGCATAACACAACTTCTAGGCTGCAACTTATCACTACTCTGTAACAGAGTTTCAAGAGTCATAAGTACTTTTTAAAAAGGTTCAGAGTTAGCCCTCTTCTTTCGTTTCCTTTTTAGTTCCCAAATCCACATTTTCTATATTTCCAAAACTTCAAACAGAAACCTTTGAGAGAGGTGGGAGGTTCAGAAAAGTGATAAACAAAAAACCCCCACAAAAGTGGTAATATTCCTCCATGTTTGTAAGCAATCCCTATGTTTTTCAATAACTGTTCTGAGTTTGCTTGTAAGAATAAACTACTAATTATCTTGTCTACTGATGGGGGGGGACGACTGAGAACAGTAATAGACATATATTGGGAGTGATTCAGAGACCCGAAAATATCATGGCAGAACTATTTACTGATAGTCAAAATTAATTCAAAGAAACTATGGTAACTGCACAGAGAAACAGCAGTTAGCACACACTATGATTGGGAAATTATGCTCACAGATGCCAACAATATGCTTGCTGAATCAGATTCCACTTGTGGGATTACCTTAAACACTATATATAATTAAGCACAGGTTGGAAGCACAAAGAGGTGAGTACCAGTAGTGCAAAAGTTATGAGGAAGGAAAACAGGAAAAGTCATATTTTATGCTCCAGAAGATGGAGGGAGGGAGGGAGGGAAGGCTGCATTGACTGATCATTTTCCACAAGGAAAGTTTAACATTCATACTAGTTTTGCAACATAAACACTAATAACTGATACAATGAGTAAAAAATCCAGACCATATTAACTTTTTTGGATAGTAGCTATTTCAATTTGCAGATTTTTTTGTATATTGAAAGTAGGTGTTAGAAACAGTATGTTTAGAAGAGAAGTGTATTTTAAATAAACTGTGCTTTTGACCAGCATACAAAACCTTGCTTATTCAAGCTAATATCTTCCTTGTTTTATCAATGAAACCCTAAGTACTTTATTTTGTGCTAGCTAATTATAAGGACCTTCCTGCTCTGATCCCAATTAGATCATTATTTCCCTCTTTTGCCTTAACCAATTGCCTGCTAGATATTTTACAAAGTAGGTACTCACTAATATATAACCTTCCCTTCCTGGTGCCTTATATATGCATCTGATTTATTTTGAAGGCAGGAAGAGAAAAAAAGAAAAAGGAAAAAAAAAAGAGAAAGGCTATTCAACTTTCCCCCAAAATCAGCCCATTGTGAGTATATTTGCTATGGCTGCTCCCCATGTCTACAAGAACTGGTTGGGAAAAGAACTTTGCTTTGTAAATATACAGAAGTGATTCTAAATTTTTGCTGATTTTGTTCATTCTGATTTCTGAATTTAACTGAATTAAATTATGATCACCTCAGCCAGTCATAAGGAGAAATGCATACCTGAGATAGAAAAATATTTTCCTCTTGATCAGCAGTATGGTAAATGTTCTTCTCAAATGAAGTTCTAAGATTCTGAAGTCTAAAAAACCATAGATCAAACCAATATTTATTTGTTTTGACATAGAGAAAAATATAATTAAAAGTACTTGTTTCCATTTTATTATAGTTAAACTTATAGTCACAAGAATTCAGCCCTTCTGGATCAAGGCCAGCTGCTTTAGCAACCTGTTATTACTGTGAACAAAATAAATTCTCAGAGGAATGGGAGCATATCAGCAAAATAGAAACCTGGAAGGAATGTGTGTTAATCATATAGACTTATAGAGGTCTTGAAGTGTCACAGTGTCTCAGTAAACTTTATCAACATTTACATGGCAACCTACTGACATGTTTTTTTCTAAAACTTTCTTGAAGATAATAACTTTCCTTTCTTGAAGATAACAGTAGAAGGTAACTTGAGAAATTATATGCATGCTTACATCACTTATTACTTATACATCATTTTCTCTCAAAATTATTTGGAGGAGATTCCTCCATTGGGCACAATTAAATGTAAATACTGCAGTTAGCCTTGATTATTGGCTTTGAGTCCTGCATTTTGAGTTCACATTACTGATAGCCAATGAAATATATCTGGAAATATTTTTCAACAAGAAATAAAGACAATAGGTGCTCTCTGCTGATTCCTATCTGCCAAATACTATTCAGTGGCACATTGGCTATAAACATTTGAAGGTAACACTTAAGCCCTATAGACCGTATTAAATAAAGGAAAGGAAGGGAAAGGAAAGGAAAATTATGAAAAGGAAAAATTTCTTAAAGAAAAAAGATAACTACTTGGACTACCTTGACAGTCTTATGCCATAATTTATCAAATTTGATTTCAGATGTTGTTATTAACTGTAAGCCTCCTAAGGAATGTAAATTAATGGCTTTTAAAAGTATAATTATAATAACTATAAATTACACTGATAACATAATGTCTCTGTTGTACTATAATAAAAAGAAAATATACTAACCTCTGCTGTTCATTCTTGTTGTAAGTGCTAAACGTTTCAAAATGCTTCTTTGAAAAATTCTAAAAATAGCCAATGTGAAATACAAATTTGAATTTCATTAGTCTTTAAGCATAAATCAAAAAATAACTTTACTGCAAGCTGTAATATGTTACTTTTACCAACTGTGATGATTTCATGCTCTATTTTAATCACTCGCTTACAAGAATTTCTGCTTAGGCCCATAAATTTTTAGATAACATCATGAAGTCAGCACGGATTGCCATTTTCCCTGAACAGTCACTTGTAAAATGTGTGGTGAAGCAAGAGATACAGTGATCATATTCTTAAAACATGATGTAATTCTTTAAAAAAAAAAACTGATTCCGGTCTTGGAAATTTTAATCCAAATATTCATACTTGGATATTGATACTTTTGAGTTGCACCAAATCAAAAATGGGCCACTGTTGATACATGAGTTGACTTTTCTTTAAAAAAATAAATAGTGCTTGCAGTTACAAGTTGGTATTGATGCTGGAAAGTACTTTGTCTCCTTCCTATTTAGAAGTGGGTCAGTTCCAAGCAATGGTTGGGGAAATAAAACTATGGAGCAATTTACTACTACTGGAATGGTTTAGTACAATTAGTTGCAAAATTTTGTTTTATAATCTGTGATATCAAAGCTAGCCTTAGAAGGTGGCTAGTACATTTTCCTTTTTTGTACCAATTCAAAGAATATATTTCCCTTTAATATCTTTAAAAGTCATCAATTAAAATATAATGTTTAAGTAATTTAATATTTTTGTAAAGGAAAATAACATACTGAAAAGTCTTTTTCGATATTTCTCAATAGTTGTGAATCTCTTTCAAAACTTTCAAGCTCTTTCAGGAGGCAGGAATGAAGATTTTCCAGCTGTCTGGATCTAGAAAAATATAAGCAAAAGTTAAATATACAACAAATATAACAATAACATGAAACTCTGGGAACTCATTCTATACAAACCTGTATTTCTGTAATTCTCTTCCCATTGTGTTCATATGCTGATGTGTTGTTTTCAGTGACTGCTTTGCAAAACAGTCAATTTTCTTTGATCGGCTCTAAAAATACAAAGGTTACATCATTATTCCTTTCAAACTGAGTATAGATTGAAATAAAAAAAAAGTTTTTAAAAATTATGAAATCGTATCATGTCCATCTAACCTAAAAATAGCAAAACATCAAATTCTGTTCTGTTCTATTCGTGTGTGTGTGTGTGCGTGCGTGCGTGGTGGGGAGGAGTACACATACATAAATACTGTATATACATGGCAGTAATCATTTAAAAAGAGTATTAGAAAAACAAACCAGAAAATATCTAGTAAGATACTACTGGCTTTTTTATATTCTTGCTATAGACAAATGTGTGAGCAAAAATTATAAATTCAAGTTTCTGTAATATTCTGAATAGACATGGAAATATGACCTTACAATGAGATTATAAAGAATAACTTTTATAAAAGAGAATGAATGTTTGTTACACGCATAAACACACGTGTTCATCATTACCAGCATATTTGAGACAAAGACAATATACACTAAATATGTATCTCCAAGAAAGATATATTTACCTGTATTTTCCTAGCAAATTCCTTATGAAGCGTCTGACAAATTGTTTCTACATTTGAACAGCTTTCCCCATCAAAAGGAGATGTCTCATGGATAGAAAATGTAGATAAGTTTTCAGATACTGAAAAAAGAATATTTTAAGATTTAGATGTTGTTTACTCAACTGTATTATCCCTTTAATACTAATATGCCCTACAAGTCTTAACAATCTTCTTCAAAGAAAGAATATTCCCCTAATAATCAATGACTTAAGCAATTTTCTCATAAGTGTTGGGAAGAAATGGACAGAAAAGCAGGAGGTCACTGCCTCTTTGGACCATATTAGAAAGTTACCAGAGGGCTTTATTCTCTGAACAGAAAAATAATTACGGCTTCCTATAAAGAGAGTAAATACTAATATATAGAGGTCATTTTGTTTTTGAACTGCAGGTTGACAAAAATAAATTCATGTGAAACCATCACTGATGATTTCTTTATTCAAAGTAACTTCCTACTGTTATTAACTATTACTGTTAATATTCCCTACTATTATTAATTATTACACATAATTAAATACAATTTTTATTAAACTACAAAATTATCCTTTATAGGGTACCTGCACAAAAATACTCAAAAAATCTGACAATTATTGACTCTAGCAAATCTTAAATGAAATCGAAAGAGCTTTTCGAATTGAAAAGTAATATAAAGTGACATAAATCAACAGGATTATATGCTGTATGTCTTCTGTCATTTCTTACTCCATTGTTTTTTACAGCTCAATTTAAGTTTCAGCTCACCTCTGTAAGTACTATCATCTGCTTTGAATAACTTTCTAGGGATAAGCTTTATTTTCCTTTCCTCCCTCCTGATTTCTTCTTCATCGGAATAATTTTCTGTATCTTCTTGATATAGTCGTTTGAAATTAGGATGTATTGTAGGTCCTTTAATAAGATTATATTTAAGCACATTATAAACAACAGTAACAATGCTGTTATGCACAGTTCAGACATCCTGAAGAGGATGTCTCCAAATAATGTGCAAATATGTCAGAGGGAACTGCCACTGATTTTTTGTTTTGGTAACATAATCTCTTTTATTAGTGCAACATATAGCTTTAAAAAAATATGTTCAAGAAAGTATTTATTAAAACATTCATACATGCAACATTTACAGAAACTCCAATTTTATTCCAATTCTTGTGGTTCAAGAAGTTGTATATCTTTTCTTTGTCCTTTTTAAGGCACAGATTATTGCTATCATTTACGTTAAATGAATATAGTAATTAAAAAAAATGTTTTTTAAAAAAATCTTCTTAGTCCACTAGAAACTCTAAGTGGCAATACAACAAGAGGTAGAATAGAATAGAATAGAATAGAATAGAATAGAATAGAATAGAATAGAAAACCATTCTGTGGTTTCTTCCCCAAACCCCAAAATCTTTAACCTTAGACTGTCTACCATTGACCTCACCCCTTTCCTAAGAGGTCTGTAGGGGGCGTGCATAAGCACATCAACAGTGTCTAACGTCCCTGTCCTATTGTTTCTTTTATTTTTTATTTTTCTTATACGTATCCATGTATTCATAACTATGTTTTTACTTATACCTATTATCTTGTAAGCAATTGACAAAAATAAATAAAATAAAAATAAAAAAAGAAAAGAATAGAACAGAATAGAATAGAATGGAATGGAATGGAATAGAATAACAGAGTTGGAAGGGATCTTGGAGGTCTTCTAATCTAGTCCAACCCCTGGCTTAAGCAGGAAACCCTCTACCATTCCAGACAAATGGTTGTCCAATCTCTCCTTAAAAACTTCAGTGTTGGAGCATTTACAACTTCTAGAGGCAAGTTGTTCCACTGAGGTGAATGAGCAATATTATGACAAGAAAGTTTCCATGAATAATGCAATGATTAGTAATAACGAGTTAAAGAAATTGGGATGGGGAGAACTTCTATTTGATTCATTTATTTACTAATCAGATTTATACAATGTCCATTGCACTTTCTAAATGACTCTGGGCAGTTTACAATTTTAGTAAACGGGACTGTATTTTAAAATAACTAGCCTGCACATGGCCTGAAAACGCAGAGATTTTCATTTTCTGTATAGTTAAACTGTAGAATATTTGTATTTATAATTGTTTAGGAAACTATACCAGATTCATGTACATCGGTAAAACATTCTTCATGCTGTAATTCTTCTCTGCTTCTGCAAGGTGTGGTTAATTGAAATGGAGATAAAGAACCCTAAAAATAAAGATATATTAACCAACCTAAACCTTTGTAAGAGGATCAGTTTGTGAAACAATATAATAACAATTTGAACCTTTCTTTTAAAACAATATTAATAAAGGCATATAAAAAGTATTATCAAAAAGAACAGGGCTAATAATCATAGGAATTTAATATTAATTTTCTGGAGTGCTGTTAATGAAGATATACAGTCCAACTAAAGTTTAAACAATATATTATTCATAGTAGAAAATCAAAGATGGATATGTTATTTTCAATATATTTTTAAAGATTCCTATGTATGACCAGGTCTTAAATTACTGAGTTATGGTTTGTGGTTCTAGAGAAGATATAAGCAATTTAAAGATGATAAACCTACTGAAGATGGTACAAAATTGTTAAATCACAAATATCAGGTATATACTGTACCTCCATCTCTAGTAATCACTCTACAGAAGGAGAACCTCCAAAATACATCTACAATTCTTTAGGGAAAATGTAACCTTGTTTAAAATTGAACTATATTTCCAGCACCCAGATCATTCCAGGGTTTCAGCATCCACCTGTTTGTCTTCAACCATCCAATACTTCACTCTTGATATCAATTAAAAATTTCAAAATTTCTCTAGGATATGGTGAAGGAAAACAAATAGAGCAGTTCATCGTGTGCTTACTAATATCACTGCAGCCCAAACCTACAGATCTGAAAGGTTAAAAATTATGAAGTTTTTAAATACAAAGAGGAAGAACACTCTGCAGAGCCAAAAGGCAGGTTCCCCATCTGATAGCTTCCTAAGCTTTAGCATTTCTCTAATGCTTATTCCATTCTTTCTTTTATCAAACAATTCTGTTCTTCCTGAACTCATTTCTTCTCACTTATTGCTATACTGAGGAAATTGGCATATTGATTTTTATTCCTGAAGAAATGTTCTGTTTCCCAGCATGCAGTGCTTGATTAATTGTGTCTGTCCTACAGTACTGAAAATATCTTGATCATTGGATATGGACAGACGTATATTTTCACACGTGTAAATATGGACATAGAAATGTGGTAATATCTGCTGAAAATTCCTTGTACAAAGTACAGAAATCAAGGGAACGAGCAACTGTTAAATGGATATCTGAGACATAGCATTACTATTACCCTGTATATCAAAGTGAGGTTCAAACTACATTCCATACCTTGAAAAAACTCAACTGAAAGAGACTTTTTCTCTTTTAAAATTTAGATTCTTCTTATATACATCAGTACACGTGTATACAATTCTAAACTGGATTCTTAATAATTTGACATTCGTAAGGTATGCTTTTACATTTCAGAGCAAATTATTCTTTTTATGTAAAATAAGCAATATATAAATGGCAAGTAGGATGCCTTTCTTTATAAAAGAGCAATTCTGGATTGGTTTGTTCCATTAGTTTGAAATGCAATAAGCTATTTAAACTAGAAACACATTTAAACTGAACTTGTTAGTAACAGCAACAGAATTATATTACATAAAACCAATTTATCAAAAAGAGTAAAGATTATCTTGACAATATTATACCTCTCTTCTACTCTTCATATTTTCAGATGTATCTTCCATTTCTGTACGAAATGATTTATTTAAAAGTCCCCTTGTAATGCTCACTGCTTCATTAGCGTAACAGATTTCATCCTCAGCAATTTCTGAATTTTTATAATTGATAAATGGTTTTTTTCTATTGAAGGGACTAATGTTGGACTACAATAAAAATTAACAGTAGTAAATACACAACCATATAAATTTAATAATATTCTTCAATTTGAAGACACAACAGAAATATTTAAGATTGTAATCCTATCCATTATTTTTAGCATACAAAGTCTTACTGAAAGATTACATTGCAAACCTACAATTCTAAGTACATTCATTCTGCAATTAAGGTTGATTATTCTGTAAGAACTTCCTAGAAATATATGTAACTCCCAGTATGATTAGTTGCACATTGCAATTCCAATATTCTTAATAATTAAACTAAATATCCCCATCCAAATTATCTGTGAAGAACAGAAGCAGAAATGAAAATGTAGGCTCTTCTACATTGCATCCAAATTCATTTAAAGTTTAGCAAAGATAAAAAGTACTCTTAGAGCCTTTATTCTCAATTCCAAGGGAAATTAAGATGGCTTCTGTATTCTTTTAAAAATTAACTGAAAACATTCACATTTACTTGACATTTGTAGAATAACTACTGTTCCAGGATCAGAGTGGGGAGACCTTCCATTACTTGCAAACAGTTTTTATATTTTATCCAAAATAAACTTGGATCCAAAATAATTGTATTTATTCTTTATAAACATTGTTCAGTTTACTGAGTTGGTTTTTATATAAAGGCATTTTGTTATTCATTCATTCATTTATTATATACCACCTCAACTTGGCCAAATTCTTGGAGGACCTCTCTGAACCATTCTGGGTTTATAGTATCAATGCAGAAGATTGGAAGTTTTAAATTAATATCAAAAAGCAAACTCATGGAGTGGAAAACTCATTTTAAAATAGTTTGTAAATATTTACCAAAGAAAGCGGACTTATCACAGGTGAGAGATCCTCCGTTTCAAATACCAGTTTTCTTCCCTTTTCAGGAAGATCCTCCAATAGTTCATTCTCTGAATTAATTTTTCCCATAATAAAATCTTCTTTAATATTTTCTAGTGATTTCTCCTTTTCAGGTGTTAATTCTTCAAGATAGGACGATAAGGACGACCTTCTCACTGATATGTGCTCTTCAGTAGATTCTTCTGTATGTTTCTCATAACCTTAACAAACCCCATAAACAGATTTTAAAACATTGGCTACCTGTTGTTGTAACACTGAATCAACCTTAACAATATAAGAGGCTCACATGTGTATTCTAATCTCTGGCACAGCCCAGATCAGAAGCTTCTATTTTAGACGTATCCTTGAAATCCCATTTGGTGGGGTGGTGTTGGTGTTAAATATAGCTAATTTCATGAACTGAAGGTTGAAACGGGTGATTAAACCCAAAGAAATTGATTGGATCCATTTTTGACCTACCCAATGCCTTTTTTTAAAATTTAAGATGTATCACAATCGATCCTCCAGCTTTAAAAAATATACCAAGTTACATAAATCATACAAAGTTACAACTAATCTAAAACAGAAGTGAAATTGCAAATTTCTGCTGGAAAGGGAACAAGCAGACATAAACACTAATTGTTGTATTCCCTGAAATGTTAAACTATGAACAATTCAAATGAAGAAACTACATCTGAAAAATAAAACTATAAATTTGTGTTGTATCGTACAGTACATTAGTCCCTGAAGCCCAGTTCTCTGAAAACAAAAAAGCTTTCCTACTTTCCAATACATTTTTCATGAGAAATGTTGTGCTGCTGAGCTTTAGTCTTCTATAATAATATTACAATGCACAATACATTACAGTGTTTTTAGGAACTGATGCCCACAGTTTTTTGCTATGGGCTATGGTATATCTGAGAAAATACAATAAAAACTCCCTTTTTACAACTCCATAATCCCTTAATTCAGGGTAGAGTCGGGGTGACTGGATGGAAACCCTTCCTGATGCCTATGCAAAGTTCGCAGCAGATAGTTTTCCTTTGCACCATATGAGACAAACCACTGTCGCTACCTAGGATTGAATTCTCAACCTTCTGAGTGGGAGGTGAGTATCTTCACCACCAGGCCATCACACCGCTCATCTGAGAGAATCCATTGACTTTTCTAAAACATTTAATATATTTTTATTTCATCACAAGATAGAAATTGTAACAGAAATTAAGAAAAGACAAGATGTGGTTCATATATGAATTGCATTTGCTTTTCTGGGCAATCTTGTGTAGCTAGAACATCTTTTAAATATACTTTTTAAAACTGGGCATCCTCAACTTGTTTTTACAGTTTTTCTTGTGACTGAAATGAGTTTGGAAATGATAATTTTTAGGGCTATGCAATGTTTTGAAGGATTTTGGTGAGAACATAACATTCCTCCTTGAAGCACTGAAGCCAACAAATCCTTCAGAAGGTTCAGCAAAGTTTCAAAAACTTTCCCCACATCATCTCCACATGCCTTGAGCTTGCACAACCACTTCACTTGGCCAGCAGTCTCAGCAGAAGTGCCTGTGCATGGACAGATGGACTATTACAACCTGGGAAAGCTTCCAAAGTGCCTGTGAACCTTTCTGAGGATACGAACATCTCATTTTTTTGGAGGGCAGTTGGGTTCCATCAACATAACGTGGCAAGTACCCCTTTAAATATTTTTTTCAACCTCAGTACTGGAAAGTGATTAGCAAGCCATTTTATTTTAGACCAAAACTATTAGAAGGTGACTTTTACAGAAGCAAAACAGCATCGCTTGAAAATAATTTTGGGTATTTCACTTATACTGGACTTCAGAATGGGGCAAAGACTAGCGTTAAACTGCCAATATCCAGCTTTGTCTTATCAAAAGTCCATCCAAAATATATCTAAGGGGGGAAAAGCATTCTCATGGAAATTACATTCAAATAATGTGGCTTATGTTTAAAAAGCAAATTGCTACAAGAATATTTAGACTAATCTAAGCTATAAACTAAAATAGTATCCTTTTCTTCATGCAAATTACAGTTTTCTTTTTAAAAAAATGTGATTCCCAGGTGCAACCATAAGAAGATTTTCTTATGGGAATCGTATTTTTTTAAAAAGAAAACACTGTGATTTGCATGAAGAAAAGGATACAATTTCAGTTTATAGTTTTGGGTCGGGCCTGTTGGAAGTTAATATACAATATATACAGCTAATATAAGTAATGGTTATTTATAGCTTTATGGTTAATTGTAAATATACCTGATTGCATGAGCCGGCTCTTCCCTGCAGATACAGACGGGTGGGATTCTACCGCTTTGGCCCTGTTCGGGAGAACTGGTATCTTTGAGGATCAGCTGGGAGCAAACTGGTTAGGTTTGGTCCAATGATCAGCTGTTGGGCCCACCCACTTCCCCGGGCTCTAAGCTGTGCTTTATATCCTGTTTTTCAAGCTCAGCTGATTCACGCGGCACAGCTGGAAAAGGTCAGTAGCAAATGCTCTGTGCATGTGCATTTGGTGCATGCAAAGCGTGCACTCACCAAACCAGTTGTTACACCAGTTGAATCACACCCGTGGCTACAGACATTACCAACTAGTGTGATAAGGCATAACTGTGTCAATATGTCTGAACATAGTGCTGGAAAAGTATTATAGCAAAATTGCTGGAGCTTACTGAGTTGACCTGATATACTTTATAGTTATTCAAAAATTGTTAACTGGTGAAAAATCTCAAGTACATAAATTTAAGTTAAGACTATCCTATTATACCTAAATATAACAACAAAACATATATCTTACATCTCATTATCTCAGAGAAAGGTGGACTCCCAGATGAAAGAGATGATGGTAATTCCATTTGGTTTTTTGTCATGTCATCTTTTGCTTTAGTAGATCTTTGGGGCTGATTTATCAATTTTCCTCTGACTGCCTCACTGGCAATTGTATGTTGTTGTATCTTGGGTTGATTAACAGCTCTAGATTTTGCTGTGATTTTATGTTCTGGCTAAAGATACAAAAACCTATCAGACAGATTTTCACTGCACACTAATTATAAACTGTGCATTTTAGAAAGAAGCAAAATAGTATTTTATATGTTATTTTTTTAAAATCTAGTTTCTCTTAAACAAAATGAAAGCTTAAGGTGGAAACATGGGTAAAGTGTCTACTGTGCTAAAATCAAGTTTGCACCCATTTTTTCCTTCAGCTTATAAATTTTGTGTTTTCATTAGTCTTTTAAGCAGTAAAATTACTCATGAGGAATTGTAGACCTATGTTTTAATAGTTAAGGACAGATTATGCCTTGTATTTTTCAAGAATTATGCTGCTTAAATTGAATTCATATAAAAACTTTTGATAACATTTTAAATGATATTGTAATTGAACTTATTAAAACCAGCTGTGATAATGTTTTGTAAAACCTAACGTTATTTTTAAAACCATTTAACATTTATGTAAAATATTTTTCTTTGAATCACACTGTTTATTGTTATTCTTCTTTGTGAAATACTATTCCATTCCTTTGAAAATCAAATTCTAGCTAAAGCAGAAGCAAAAATAATGATTTTCTAAAATACAAATTCTAGGAACATATAATTTTAGTAAACGTACAATAAAGTACAAAGCTTACATATTCATTTGAAGTGTTCTTCTTATGCAAATATTCAGAAATTTCCTCTTCACTCTCTATCCCTGAACTTGAGAGTTCTTTGTAACATTTTTTGGCTAGTGCTGCTTTTCTGAGTTTTGTTGATCTGGTCAGTAGTGTTCTTTCCCCATCACCGTTATCATTCTGATTTTTAGAAATAGGTACTTAAAAAAATACTTTGCACACCATTTTAATATTAAAGTTAGATCTTTGTCTAATTGTTCAGCATGTCTCATAGCTACTTACAATGTAAAATTCAATACAGAGATTGACTTCAGAGACTCTCTGTATGTTAGCCATCCCTTCTTGGTGGTGTCTGGTGCAGGGGTATCAAACTCGATTTCATTGTGGGACACATCAGGGTTGTGTTTGACCTGGGGGGAGGGTGGTCGTGGCTGGGGTGGGCATGGCCAGCTCAACGTCACTTGTGTCAAGGGTGCCTATGGTGGCCTGAGTGCTCTGCCAGTGAAAACAGGCTTCCGAGCTCCACTTTAGGCTACAACGGCCTCCTGCAACCCTCTGCCAGTGAAAATGGAGCTCCAGAGGGCTGCCTGCAGCCCTCTGGAGCTCCATTTTTACAAGCAGTGGAACCATGGCTGGTCCTTGGTTGTTTTCACGGTGGCCCCACAGGCCATATCTAAGCATCCCATGGGCCGGATCTGGCCCACAGGCCTTGAGTTTGACACTCCTGTTCTAGTGACATAACACTGTTATTTATTATATCTCAACTAAACACATCTTGTTGGGAAATTTCAGTGTCTTAATTCACCACAAGAGGGGAGAAACTGAGCAAAACTGGATTGCTAATTAGGTACAGGTAGTCCTCGACTTACAACAACTCATTTAGGGACTGTTCAAAGTAACAATAGCACTGAAAAAGGTGACTTACAACCGTTTTTCATACTTACAACCATTGCAGCATCCCCATGGTCACATTCAGACACTTGGCAACTGACTCGAATTTACAACAGTGTCCTGGGGCCATAGGGTCACCTTTTGCACCCTTCTAACATGCAAAGTCAATGGGAAAACCAGATTCACTTAGCACCTGTATTACTAACTTAACAACTGCAATGATTTGCTTAACAACTGGGGCAAGAAAGGTCATAAAATGGAGCAAAACTCACTTCCCAAATGTTTCGCTTAACAACAGAAATTTTGGGCTCAATTGAGGTCATAAATCAAGGACTACCGGTATAATCTCATAAGAAATATAATCATCCCTACCAGCTTAATACAATAGGCGTCAAAATATTAACATACCACATTAGAAAACAAAGGACAATCCATGAAGACAAGAATAGCAGAGTAGAAAAATTAGTAGTTATTTTTCTTATGCTCAGGATAAAGGAATATTTTTCTTGAACAAAAACTGCTGAGATTGGCTTATTCCATTCCAATCTGCTGAACAGTCAATCTTAAAAAACAATCTGATCATTTAACTTTTTCTGTGTGGAAAACAGTTTCAATACTTGTAAACAAAAACTGTACCTTATTACTTCTGCTTTTTTGGGGTGGAGATATTTCCCTCATGCCTGGTGATATAGAGAATTTATCTAAAAATTCAACATTAATGACAAAACAAGCCCAAGATTAATTAAATCCTACTACAACGATCAAAACAATTATCATTCAATTTTCACTGCTTCTGATCATCTCAACAAGAAATTACCAAGGCATTTTAAACATGAGTTTAGAATTACGCACTCAATCCACAATTACACAAAGATGATTGAAGAATAATGGGTGGAATTGGAAGGCCACTAGCATAAGACATTTACTGTTATTTATTGCTTGTATTTAGTCTTTTTTTAAGCTATGGTGGCTGCCCTGAGCTGCTGTTGAAAGATATAAATTGAAAGAATAAATAAGTAAATAAAATAAATAAAAGTAAATAAAATAAAATGAATTAAAAACAAAGTTGAAGGACCACTTCTACCCAGTTATATCTACTCAGCCCACCAGAGCAAGAAGGCAGGGTATGATATGGGTTCCAACTGGTAAGAAAGGAGTATTATGTTTGTTCGCCCTAGAGATACTTATAAAGTAACAGAATACAGAGAATACAGAGCCCCCTCTAGGCAAGACGGCTGGCATGCAAATCAAATACATAAATATAATAAACAAACCAACCTAAAAATAAATTAAGGGAGTACACCTCATGGGACCAAGAAGAAGGGCCTTCTCTGTAGTGACTCCTTCCCTTTGGAACATCATTTCCTCAGAAATAAGATTGCCCCCCTTTTTGTTACTTTTCTAGAAGTTATGCCAAGGGAGGGGGCTGGGTTTTCTGAGTTTTTTATAGTCTTAATTTGTAATGTTGTACACTGCCTAGAGTCGCTGTGTGTGAGTTGGACCGCCATATAAATCTATGTAGTATTTATTTTATTTATTTATCATTTATGTATTCAATTTGCGTGCAGCCCATCTTGCCTAGAGGTGACTCTGAGCCAAATAAATAAATCCTTTGTTAACATTTATCTCAGACTGAAGTCTACCTTCATCTTCTTGAAGATACAAGACTCTCCAGAAATTATTAGATGGTATCTAATATGGGACCCTAATATAGGACTAGGCACCCTAAGCTGCTTTTTTCCTGCTCTTAAACTAACTTCAGAAATTCCAGTCCAATTGCAGTGATTTGGCAACAGGGCCAAGCAGTACTCAATATGGACTATGGCCACCTCAGTATTTGGCTCTTTGCTTCCCTGCTTCTTGTCCTTCAAATATGTGCATAACTTTTTTCTGTCACTCAGATAAAATACCGCAGAAATGTTGTCTATAAATGCTGAAACAGTGAGTAGTAAAAGTCATGCCATAATTCTCTATTTTCCTAGGGTAGGGAGTTCGAAAGATTTTCTTATTTAAAATAAATTAAAGCTTAATGAGGGGAGGGGCTTTGCCTGATTTTGTTTGAATGTGTTTTGAATGCCTTCCTGTGGCAAAAATGAGGCCAGGCATTTTTGGTGACTGTGACTGGAGAAGAAATCTGGAAGCTACAGAAAGTTGCTCAAGGCCAACATCCAATCTTGGAACATCAAATTTCTAACTGTGCCTTCAGGAAAAGCACAACTGGAACTGGAGAAAATATTTTATGTATATGTGAAATATTTACATATTTTCTCAATGACATCAAATTAATTATTTGTTGATAAATAAAATAACAAGATGCAAAAATCAAGGGACACGTAAAAATACAGTTAAGATAAAAAAATGTAAATGTTTTTAATGTTTTCTTATTGGAATGTAATGTGCTAGAATGTAATTTAAGATATGCAAAGTGTGCTATACTCAGAAGCAAAGGTGTAACATTAGTATAAGAGTCGGGATGTTTTGGGTCATATACAGTACATATAAATCTCTAGTTCTGTGCATTTGCAAGAGTAGTGGAAGAACAAAAAACAAAGCAGTATAGAAAAAGTTTGCAAAAGGATTAGGAAGTATAGAAGAGTCTTTTAAAATGCAATTTGAAAAATAAGCTATATTTTAAAAATACTTTTATGCTTTTAGGGAAAATGAAACATGTATTCTGATTAGAAATGACAAGAAGAATATCCAATTCCAGAGATGAATCAGAGCTGCTTTATGCACAATAAACTGAAAATCTGAGAGATAGCAAAAACTTGCATTTTTCTCTGTATGTATAATACAAATAAATAATTTAAGGCCAATCCTCATTGTGAATATCACTAAACTTAGCAGAGCTTACTTTTGAATATGTATTTAGCAGGCAAATATAAAGCTGTCCTATTTCCTTTCTATTAAGTCCAACAATTTCTAGGCCTATTTTTTATTAAAAATCCAACCATAAATGTATAATTATAGGAAGATAAGAGAATTTAACCTATACCAATTACCAATTGCTAATATTATCAATTGTGTATGAGTGTGTTGTGTAAGGATGGACATTAGTTGGATTGTATTCTGTCTAGCAAACCTCCTGCTTGGAACCTTGAGGGAGCATTCCTACCAAGATTCTGGAATTCATTTAAATACCAATATTTGAATTGAGCCCTGCATTTTAATTACAGAAAAATAATCTGATTTATAGGCTTTGTAATAAATAGATATCTTGCCTGGTTCCAGAGTTTTGAACTTCCTTGGTTTTCTGGCTCTGCCGTAATTTACGAGCTGAGGTTTAGGCTTTCTATTTGATTCCCTTAACCAGCTAATTTCTGTGTTGGTATCATCACCTCTATATTCGGTGTCTGTGTCACTAAAAAGATGCTTGTAGTTTCTTTTTGTCCTGCCCTATGGGAGAAAAAAATCATTTTCTTTGAAAAATAAGTATTTTTATTTTATTTTAAAAGAACTTTTATTCTTTCATAGAACTGCAAAACACTTGTTCTAATTAGATATGGCAAAACAACAACAACACCATGCCATTTTATTTATTAGTATATTTTAGAAGCAATTGCTGATTAACTGAATGGTCTGTAAAAATATTCTAACCTATCCCATACCATGCATATAAATGAAAATCTAGATCTTAATTTGCTAACAAATTCAAGCTGATGCATTTTCTCAAATGTCAAAGATACAAGTTCTTCAAAGACTTAAATAACTTCATTAACATATTCTACTTGGAAACCAGTACAATCCTGTAAAAACCATTATTAAATTTATGTAAATTAATTATAATTGAGATCTTACTAAACACAGTTCTACTAATTTAATTAACTGTAACTGATTTGTCTATTTGCTATCAAGGAGATTTAACTCAGCACAGATTTAACATCTCCGATATATAGTATTTTAAATTAAAGCAAGTAAGATTCAACTAAATTAAAAAATTAAAAGGCAGTTAAAAAAAAATCTCAAGATGTTATTTTGCAGTTTCACATTGTAAAATTGTGGTATTTTTTCCCCCATGCCACCTTCTGTATAGCTGTCCATCTTGCAACAGCAACATATAATATAGCATTAAAAACACAATCCAACCTAGCAATCATACTAAATATGCATAATAGCAGCTAAGGAGAACTATTACTATAAATAAACATCCTTGTGAGGATAAAGGCTCATTCTCCGAGCTTGTGGTTTGGTTTCTGAATGTTTCATCACCAGGCTAGGTAACATCTTCAGTGGAGTTTAGGGGAAGTCACAGTGTCAGTGTTGTTTTAGGCTTCAGACAGTGGTGGGTTTTTTTACTACTGGTTCTGTGGGCGTGGCTTGGTAGACGTAGCTTGGCTTGGTGGGCATGGCAGAGGAAGGATACTGCAAAATCTCCATTCCCTCCCCACCCCATTAACCTGCTTTCCAGCTCCATTCTCCTGTGCAGCGCAACAAAAGAAGATCCAGCGGATCAGCTGGGATTCGAGAGGCAGAGAATAGATGGGGGCGGGGCCAGTCAGAGGTGGTATTTGCCGGTTCTCTGAACTACTCAAAATTTCCACTACCAGTTCTCCAGAACTGTCAAAACTGGCTGAATACCACCTCTGGCTTCAAGCAAAGGTGTGTCAAATGAGGGTCTTCTGATGGATCAGCTGTGAGTCATCAGTAACTTTTGTGATGGGTCTTGTGATTACCAGAAACCAACCCACAAGCTCAGAGAATGAACCTTTACCTTCATCCTACATTCGAGCTATACATATTCGCCACTATTGCAAACATCCTGGAATTTACAAAATACAACTTTCATTAAAATTATGTTCCTTTTAAAAAAATACCTTCTTTTCCTTCTTCTTTTGGGTTATACTTGTTTCATTTTTCTGAGTCCTAAAACAAATTTAAAAATGCTTATTTTAGTAATTAGAATGGAAATAAATACTTCATTTGGATTAATTTTTTATTTACTTGCATATGTGGAAGACAACCACTTTCCACAGGTAAAGCATCCACCACATATCATCTAGAGATTTTTTCCTCTACCAAGCCCATGTAAAACATGTATTTAGAAACTTGCCATTATCTCATTTTATTGTAATAGCTCTCATTTATGAGTTTTCTGCTGATAGCAAGAATACTTACATTTTCTTTGGGGGTACACCAGTAGTTTCTAAACTAATAAGATGTAATTCCTGGACCTAAATAAATAGAACAGTTCCATTTGTAGGTGAATTTTCTGCCTATTTGTAAATGTTTGTCAAGTAAACAAGCCCTATTTTTTTCAATGAAAATTGTATATATTTTTATAATTGTATATCTGTAATTTTTTTTATAAAGACTGTTTTACAAAAGATAACTGGTACTTATTTAAAATGACCTCACAATATCACATACTGTTTTAAAATCTTTATTTTCTTTACAAATATCATTTGTCTTTATTACTCTGTGAGCAGGACAATACTTATGTTTTAATACTGATTACATTTTAAAAATAAATGTATCTTGATGTGTATTTTCTAATGGTGGGATATAGGAAACAATAGAATGCAAGGTTCAGCAAAGTTATTGTCCTCAACTTATGACAATTGGGGCCAGAATTTCTATTGCTAAGCAAAGCAATTGTTAAAGCAAGTCACACTCAGTTTTATATCTTTTGCTGTGGTTGTTAAGTGAATCACTGCAGTTGTTAAGCGAATCCAGCTTCCCCCATTGAGTTGTTTGTTGGGAAGCTGGCTGAGAAGGTCACACATGACGCTTATGTGACTCCAGGATGTTGCAACTGTGGTAAATACAGGCAGGTTGTCAAGTGCCTGAATTTTGATCATATGATGGTGGGGATGGTGTGAGAGCCTTAAGTGCAAGGAGACCAGTTGTAAGTCATTTTTTTTAATGCCATTGTAACTTTGGACTGTCACTAAATGAATGATAGTAAATTAAGGACTATCTGTACAGAAGATCTAGCCCAATTTCCTGCTCAATGCGTCAGTGTCAATAGCCATCTAGCCCAATGTTTTCCAACCTTGGTAAGATGTGTGGACTTCAATTCTGCAGTGCTAGCTGTGGAATTCTGGGTGTTGAAGTCCACACATCTTAAAGTTATCAAGGTTGAGAAGCACTTATCCTCTCCAGTAAAGTTGAGTCCATTGAATGTTGCTTTGCAAATCTCTAGGCTTGTGTTTTTAGCTTGCATACAACAGCCTGAACATGCTCACATAAAACTGGACTTGTGATAACACTGACCAAAATGCACCAAAACTAACCAGAAATATCCTTACTATTAATAAGGAAAACTGCATTTGGCATGGAGATGACTAATTCTAATAACTTTGTCTATTCTTTTTTTAAAAAATACCAGTAATATAGTTGGGTAGCTACAGCAGAGTACAATTTTAACATAAGCCAAGAGGTTGAAACTGCTATAGAATCAAACTATATTTTGGAGTGAATTAATAAGTGTAAATTCCAAATAATAAGTAATGTTGTTGAATATAATTATTGACATATTAATATGCTATAATTTTCTTACTCCAAGCTTTATTGTAGGTTCATCAAATCCACTTCGATTAAAGTCATAGACATCATCACTATCAAAAGAGATAAAACTTTGTTTAATATTTTATCTTTTCATCTCTCAAATGGCTAGATTTGTAATAGATTACTATTTACTTACACAGATTGTTCATTAGTATTGTTGTGTAGTGTAGTTCTGAAATTTCCAGTCCTTCTATTCTGTCTTTTTTTCTAGGCATAAAAATTAATTATACAAGGAGATGTATAACCAATGCTACCCCTTTTTCTGTGGGTTTTTTTTTTCAATTTGTTTAAATAAAATTTCTGGATCACTCAGCCAAACAATAAAGGGCAAAAGGAGCAGTTAAATACATTCATGTTCACAAACAGTGCATCTCCTCTCAGAGGTTTTCCTAATGCTTAGTTTTAAAACAAAAACATTCTTCTAGCAGCTTTTCTGTAAGAGCTAACAGCTTACTTATTTAGCAACATCAAGTAACAGATTATGGTAAGTGCAAAGCAATTAGTGGTGGGGCTTTTTTGCTGATGTTTTTCCTTCCACATAAAGGTGATTCCTGACTTTAAAAAAACAAAATCAATGAACTCAGAGTCTCCCATGGCAAAGTTTTGTTTTGGCAGTTATTGAGCTGTGAGAAGTCTTCTTGTGTCTAGTCAAAGGTTCAGCTCCTGCTTTCCTCCCAGTTCTACCTTATCCCATTCAGTCTGTTGGTGATGGAGAACCAATGACATATCACTGGTGACATGGCATGCCATTTTTGGTGATACACCAAATCTCCAGACCTGGAAGTCGCCTGAGGGGGGCTCTGCTAGGAGGCCTCTGAAAGGCTTCTGGAGACGCGCAAAAGCATGCGAGACCAGGGCATACTTTCCTGCTCTTTTCAGAGGTCACAAGGCCACACAACAGCATTCTCTGAAGTTTGCAGACCTTGTGCAACCTGGAACTACCTCCTATTGACATTTTGTAAAAAAAATATTTACTATTATGCAGGTTTTTTTTATTTAATAATAAATGTAAATAATTTAATGTAATATAATTCACCACTCTTTACTATGAATTGGGGTGTGTGTGTGTGTGTGTGTGTGTGTGCGTATGTGTGTGTAAAACCGAGGGGGGGGAGACATGCCAGCAAAGTCAAGTTAAGCAATTTCTGAATTTCCGAGCAGCCCAGTGATAATACATTAAAGAGCAGCCTAGACCAATGTTTTCCAACCTTGAGAACTTTAAAATGTGTGGACTTCAACTCCCAGAATTCTCCAGACAACGTTCACCAACCAGAATTCTGGAAGTTGAATCCATATATCGTAAAGATGCCAAGGTTCAGAAACACTGGCCTAGACATGATGATCAGTTCAATTACAAAACCTGAAAAAAAATGCCACTATAAATGTCACTCTTGAAACTTTGAACTCTTGGTTCAGCGTTCAAACATATTTAATCTACCGTGTCTAAAAATAAATTCCTAAAACCGTTTTCAGACAAATTTGTAAAGAAAGAAAATACCTTATCTTCGCTATCAATTTTATTTAACGATGTGCTGTAAGAAAAGTGGATGGAATACAGATCAATACCAAGCTAGAAATCTTCATTTGTAAATAAAAGTTGTATTTAAATACCGATCTTAAGTAATATAATTAAACAATGAAATACATTCCTTCAGAAGATTTTGAGAACAGCCAAGTTAATCTGCTGAATAAAAAAGTAAGAAAAAGTTGTAGGCACATATTATGGCATTGATGAACTTTTATAAACTATGAAATGCTGAAACTATCTATGCTTGGTGGTGCTTTGGATTGGTCAACTTTGGCTCTCAAATGGCTCTACTACTTTAGTAGCAGAGCAAAGAGCCCTCAGCTTCTAGTTTAGGTGCCAGTTCAGGTGCTTTTACTAAGTTCCAGGGGTTTTTTTAACCAGGTGCCACTGAGGAAAATAAATCTGTAAACTAATACAGAGACCCCTCAACTTGCAACCCTGATTTGAACTGGAACTTCCTCTGCTAAGTAGCTGTTAAGTGAGTCATACCCAATTTTATAACCACTTTATGGCCCATCATCAAGCAAATCCATTTTCTCCTACTGACTTTGCTTGTTGAAAGCCCTGTGGGAAGATCACAAATTACGATCATTTGACGCAGGATGCTGCAACTGCCAATCACCCACATTTGATCAGGTGACCACAAGAATAGTGCAATGGTTGGAAGTGCAAGGACCAGTCATAAGTCACTATTTTCTATTTCTCCAACTTTCTTCTCTGTTTCTCCTTTCTTCCATCTTTTCCATTCTTTCTTCATTCTTCACCATCATCTGTTGTATATTTTCCACTTTCTCTTCAACACGTTTCTCTTGTTCTTGTATTGCTTGTATTGCTTGCATCATTGTTCTTAACTCCTGCATTGGAAACTCCTTTTCTTTGTCTCTTTCTTTCTCTTTTTCCTTTTCTTGCTGTATCATGGTATGTATTGATCGCTGACCAGCTGGGCTTAGTGAGGAAGAAATAGGGATCGAAGATACTGTTGCAGCTATCTTCCTCATCTCAAATTAGTTGTAATCCCAAACAAAGAATATCTGCCAATTAATCCAAGTTCTGCTTTCTTCAGGTTCTTCTCTACTTTAATCCAATTATAAAAGAAACAAGCTTTCCATATCCAAAAACAAAAAATAAAAAGTAAAATAAGGATAAAACAGAGGAATTAAAAATATTAAATCCACAAGGAGACAAAAGTAAAAAACACGCTAAAAATTAAAAAAGAAAGAGTTCCAAAAATAATCCACTTGTAATAGTCCAGTAATAAAAAATAGGGAGAACTAAAATGTTCCAAATAGGAGGCTAACCAAAGGGAAAAAAAAGGGAACAAGTGGCTGCAAACAAGCTTGAAATAGTAAAAAGGCCCAGAAGAGATACCAGCAGTAAAAGATAAAACAAAATAGAATAGCCAGCAATTATTTTAAATAGCAGTCACAAAGTAATTCCAATCCACCATATGGTGTCCAGAAAGCCAAGTCAAAACATAATCCAAGGTCACAGTAGTCTTTCTCTTCTTCTTCTATCTCCAGCTGTTTAGATTGCCAGAATAGCACCTGTTTCAACAATCTTTTAGCACTTTGCTCTTTATCTTCCTTTTGGGTCTAAATCAGGGGTCCCCAACCACCGGTCCCCGGACCGGTACTGGTCCGTGGAACAATTTCTACTGGGCCGCCGGTTTGCTGGGCGACGCCATCTTGTTTTGATGAAAAAGTGCTTCCGGTGAGCTTTTCCGGGTAGAAAGCGGCGTTTGGGTGCTGAAAGAATCCTCGCGCCTTAGTTTCATCGAGGGGGGGGCGGCTTTGAACAAAACTAAGGCGCGAGGATTCTTTCAGCACGCATGGCAAGGCGAGCCGAGCGACCGTCCCAAAGCCGTCCCAAAGCCTATCGACACAGGTACAAAGGAGGAGTTGAAGGTGGCGGGGAGAAGCGGGGGACGGCTGGCTGGCCGGTCGCTTGGCTCGCCTTGCCATGAGTGCTGATGCCGGTACCAGGCCGCGGATGATTTTGTGAAGCCAGTACCGGGCCGCGGCACAAAAAAGGTTGGGGGCTACTGGTCTAAATAGCCTGCTATCAGAAAAACAATTCTTAAATCTTTCCAATTTTTCTGTAACCTCTAGGTGGCACTATTGCTTTACTTTGCTTTCATTCCTTTGTTATATTGTATCCGAAAATTCAAAAATTTAATTCAATTTTTCTTTTAAAAGAAAACTTTCACTTTTAGAGTTACGGGTTATTAAATAGCAAACTAAAAAGTGAAAAATAATCCAGAATTAAAATTAAAATTAATACTTTTGTATTTTCCAAATTGTTAGTCCAGTCCAGTTAAAAAAGAAAAAAATAATCTTTCCATGCAGTAAAATAGCCTCAATTGGATCTGACAGTTATAAACATGCTTTCCGCCGCTAACTTTCTCTTCTGTCTTCAATCTTCTTAGATTTTCTTTTTCCCCCTAGGGTGCTCTTTAATCCTTAGCGAATTTTTTTTTAAAAAAAAAAACTCACCCATTTCCGACACACTTTCCTTCTGCTTTCCCTTTCATTCCGGAGCTGTCCCAGCTTCCCAGCAGCCTTAATGGCCACTTTCCTCTGCCGCTGTTTCAGGAAGCTTTCCTGGATCAACCAGGGACTTTGTGATGTACCTGGGATCGACAGGATGTGCCCACTTCTGTCACTGTCTCTCTGGGATGGTTTAGGTCCAAAAGGACTGTCCAGTCGCAGGGATATCAACGGTTCTTTCAGGAGCTCCAGAATCCCTGTCTTCCCGCCACAACGGCAGCTCCGCCCTCCTAGTCACTATTTTCTATTTTCATTGCTATCATTTTGAACCATCATTAAAGAAAGGGTTTTAAGGCATGAACTATCTGTACAGTATTGCCATCAGCAATTTTCTAATAGATGTTAATGGTACTAAAGATGTTGAAATCATTTACTTTTATAACATTAATTGCAGTTTGCATTTGTTTACTTTCAGTAGATTTCATTAATATTTTCAGGCAACAGAGAATTGAAAAGCTCCAAACCTTTAAACTTCAAAATACGATAATTAACATTTGTTTAAAAAATGTAACATTACTCATAAACTGAAATATAACCTTATAACTGTATTCAAAGTGAAGGTAAAGGTTCCCCTTATTTCCATTACAAAGCTGAAGAGCCAGCACTGTCTGAAGATGTCTCCATAGTCATGTGGCCGGCATGACTAAACGCTGAAGGCACACAGAATGCTGTTACCTTCCTACTAAAGTGGTCCCAATTTTTCTACTTGCATTTTTACATGCTTTTGAACTGCTAGGTTGGCAGAAGGTGGGACAAGTAAAGGGAGCTCACTCTGTTAGTCGGTGCTAGGAATTCGAACTGCCGAACTGCCAACCTTTCTGATCGACAAGCTCAGTGTCTTAGCCATTGAGCCACCGTGTCTCTTTTTACACAGTATATACTGTATTACTCTTATGTAAAAGAATAATCTAATCTATAAGATGGGTGGCATGTAAATTTAATAAATAAAATAAATATAATGTAACTAATAGCACAGAAAAAAAATGAAAGACTAGGAAAATATGGGATCATTAAAAATTTTGTTCTGTTTCATAATATTAGTACATTTTAAAGAGATAAAAGATAAACTTAAGAAAATGTAGAAAACTACATTAAGAAAACTAAAGAAGATTAAAAAATATCTATTGCAAAACTATTTACTTTTAACATATAATATCTATCTATATGTCAGTTACATAAAAAGAAAATATATGTACAATACCTCCGATCAGAAAATGACTGGCACACTTTTGATGTATTTTTTATGCCATTCTTTTCTTTATATCTTTTGCTGATTTTACTTATTAACATTTCTGCTGCTTCAATAACATCTTTTGATTTTGTTTTCTGAAAAGAAAAACAATGCTGTAATGTCCTTAATGCAATCTGTTCTTGGTTGTTTGCTAAACTACTGAGAAATAGTTAAACCAAAACCAATCACTATTTTGATTTACTATACAACTAGAAGAGTAATGCTGAGGTTATTTACCTTCTCATAATTTACTTGATCAGTTTTCTTATTAGCAGTCTCTTTTGCAGAAGGTGATATATTCAATCTAATATCATGATCATTCATTTCAGAGATTGATTTGGAGTGCCTTGAAGTTGTTAGAGAACTATTATTCTTTTTGGTAGCAGGAAGTGATATTTCAGATGTGTTGGAAACACTCTTTCTACTTTTACTTTTTGGTATTTTCTCATCCAAATGCTTAAAACAGGTTTGTGAATCTGGTATATTATTGGTTTTGCTGTGTTGTTCCTCTGTGATTTTGCCTCTGCAATGCTGTTTATTTCTTAACTCCGAACAAGACATTTCAAATATTGAAGCAAAAGCTCTTTGCTTAGCAGCTCTGTCACTTCGATTAGCAGCTAATAGAAAACAAAAACAAAAGTTTAAAATTAAATAAAGTGTTATAAATTATCATACTTATTCAAAAGGAAGTCAACTCAGAATGTCATGTTTTTACAGGCACAAAAATCACACAACTTGTCAAGTTAGGGCTGCCAACTCCAGGTAAAACCACTTCTAGGGATTTCACCCAATCCCAATATGTTTGCATGTATTTCAAATTTGTATGCCTGTGCGTATAGACAGATATTGGTTTGAAGCCACATCCTTAAAAGGGCAATTCTAGGATAAATTAATAAATATTAATTGAATTAATAACTATTGCTTAAAATTAATTGCCTGTAAAGATGCCATCCAATCTTAGAAATTAATTGATCCTCTATCTGCACATCACTGTGTCTCTCATGCACAGGTCATACTTCCTGTTTTCAGAGGTGGAGGGGGGAGAGATCCTGAGATCTATCCTAAGCTATGGTTGCATGCAAACCATTCACTTTCTTTCAATCCAACCTACCTCCCAGATATGTTAAAGAGCAAAAATAAGTCTTGTTCCATACTTAGATATTAAGTGCATATCAAATAAAAATAGTAAAGAGAAAAACAGGATGCTGGTAGGATGAGGGGAAGGACAGGAAAGCTAACAGAACTAGATAAAGAAATGGAGAGGAGGCAAGGAACAACAGTAAATGGGCCATTATGGGTAACAGGGAGAAAGGAAAGAAACCTTTTCTCAACTGGCAGAAAGAATTAATTCTTCCATTGAGCAGGTGGGATAAATTCTTCTCTTATTAAGTCATGCTGGTGGTTGCTGAAAGCTTGGATATTGAGATTAAACATTCCCAGACTGACTGTGGAGGAGAGGGGATGATCTTCTTTGCTTAAATGTTGACTTTTAACTTTTTTATATTAAGGCCTAAAATGTTTGTCCTCTACATGATGAGGTTGCGCCTCAGCAGCAAAGCAGGAAAAACGGACTGGGAGAAAACATGGACAATCATGAAAATAATGGATTGGATAATCATATTAGAGTCCTAACTTAATAATGAGTCAAAAATGGCTACCCCTTTCAACAGTTATCTGCTGTTTTTCACATATCTGCTTTTCTGCTATTAGAAAATAACCAACAGATACACAAACACACATATACAAAGACACACACAAAGACACAAACAGTTTAAAGGCAACCATTTTGTTTCTAAATTCTTTATTTGGATAATTGTGAAAAAAACTAATATAGCTTTGCTATGATTTTTTATATAAAGACTTAACCTTGATATACTATACTTTCTGATGCAGTAATATGTTGACATTGAGTTATTACTGTTTCAGGTATCCAGCACTTTGTTTTTTTCTGAGTTTTAATTTCATCAACAAAATTGTTTGAAAGGCCAGGCAATCTAAAAAAAAAAAGCACACATATTTTAGCAACTTTTGAATATGTTTATAATTTGACACATGATTATTTCAAATATAAAATGCATTCTGTTTAAAACATTAGCCAACTTGTGCAACTACTTGCACCATTTGGATGCTTGTATGTATCCAACTGTATTTTCCCATACAAAGGCTGGGGAGTTAATTACAGTTTTCCCAATGTTTATGGCAATGCTAATTCACATTTCTTGATATTCACTTTTCTGGGTTTTTTTCCAATCAAAATTATAACATTCTGAATGCCAAGCTACTGTTTATCAATCTTTCTGCTTTCAAATTACTGACTAATCAGTTCAACAATGATCTGTATACAATGTTGCCTTTCCGCATTTTGTAAACATTCTAAAACTCAATCTTCCTAAAATCATCCTAATAGTATGCTATCAAGAGTAATGATTTTTGTAAATCAACAGACAAATGAATAGAGATGCACCTGTACAGACACCTGAACTCCGTGCATGTTTTTGTAGAAAAGAAAGCTAGAATGTTTTTGTTTCTTTGCTTTGGAGGAAGTGAATAAAGCCACTAGTATTCTCAGTGCCCTTTAAGTCAGACAAGTAGTAAACATGACACTCTTGACGGCTTGAAGTGGAAACAGTTGGTATTGATTGGCTTGCATTTTGTTGTTCAACTATTATCCAGCTTGAATTGAGCAATGATTGGTTGAAGATGCTGTCTACAATATCATGGTATCCAGGGATGGAAATAGAAAGATAACCATACCAAACAAACTTTTCTTTGCATCAGTGCATGGTGTGGAAAAACAGTCATAGCAACAAGAATTGCTTACTTATGGAGGAGACCCACCATACAATCAAGCACTAAAAGCTTTCCTGAATGTTAGCAAAGTTGATACTAATCTGACTCAGTAGAACATTTTGGCAAAGGAAAGGGGTAGCAACAGAAAAGGCAGGCCTTCATGGTCCCTGATGACAACAAACCCTTCCTGGTAAGAGTGTATTGAATAGGCAAAAACTGCTATAATAAGTTGGCTGTGAAAGTTTCCAGGTTCGAATCCTGGAGTTCAGAGTTCAAGAATTTTGTCATAATTATATACAATGCTCAAAAAAAATAAAGGGAACACAAAAATAAGACATCCTAGATCTGAATGAATGAAATATTCGTATTAAATACAGTACTTTGTTCATTACATAATTGAATGTGCTGACACCAAAATCACACAAAAATTATCAATGGAAATCAAATTTAGCAACCCATGGAGGTCTGGATTTGGAGTTACACTCAAAATTAAAGTGGAAAAAAACACTACAGGCTGATCCAAGTTTGATATAATGTCCTTAAAACAAGTCAAAATGAGGCTCAGTAGTGTGTGTGGCCTCCACGTGCCTGTATGTCCTCCCTACAATGCCTGAGCATGCTCCTGATAAGGTGGCGGATGGTCTCCTGAGGGATCTCCTCCCACACCAGGACTAAAGCATCCCCCAACTCCTGGACAGTCTGTGGTGCAATGTGGCGTTGATGGATGGAGCGAGACATGATGTCCCAGATGTGCTCAATTGGATTCAGGTCTGGGGAACGGGCGGGCCAGTCCATAGCATCAATGCCTTCATCTTGCAGGAACTGCTGATGCATTCCAGCCACATGAGGTCTAGCATTGTCTTGCATTAGGAGGAACCCAGGGCCAACCGCACCAGCATATGGTCTCACAAGGAGTCTGAGGATCTCAACTTGGTACCTAATGGCAGTCAGGCTACCTCTGGCAAGTACATGGAGGGCTGTGCAGCCTCCTAAAGAAATGCCACCCCACACCATTACTGACCCACTGCCAAACCGGTCATGCTGGAGGATGTTGCAGGCAGCAGAACGTTCTCCACGGCATCTCCAGACCCTGTCATGTCTGTCACATGTGCTCAGTGTGAACCTGCTTTCATCTGTGAACAGCACAGGGCGCCAGGGGCGAATTTGCCAATCTTGGTGTTCTCTGGCAAATGCCAAATGTCCTGCACGGTGTTGGGCTGTAAGCACAACCCCCACCTGTGGACGTCGGGCCCTCATACCACCATTATGGAGTCTGTTTCTGACCGTTTGAGCAGCCACATGCACATTTGTGGCCCGCTGGAGATCATTTTGCAGAGCTCTAGCAGTGCTCCTCCTGTCCCTCCTTGCACAAAGGCGGAGGTAGCGGTCCTGATGCTGGGTTGTTGCCCTCCTATGGCCTTCTCCTCATCTCCTGATGTACTGGCCTATCTCCTGCTCTGGATACTACGCTGAGACACAGCAAACCTTCTTGCCACAGCTCACAATGATGTGCCATCCTGGATGAGCTGCACTACCTGAGCCACTTGTGTGGGTTGTAGACTCCGTCTCATGCTACCACTAGAGTAAAAGCACTGCCAGCATTCAAAAGTGACCAAACCATCAGCCAGAAAGCATAGGAACTGAGAAGTGGTCTGTGGTCACCACCTGGAGAAGCACTCCTTTATTGGGGATGTCTTGCTAACTGCCTATACTTTCCACCTGTTGTCTATTCCATTTGCACAGTAGCATGTGAAATTGATTTGTCAATCAGTGTTTCTACCTAAATGGACAGTTTGATTTCACAGAAGTGTGACTGACTTGGAGTTACATTGTGTTGTTTAAGTGTTCCCTTTATTTTTTTGAGCAGTATATTAATTTACTGTCTCTAAAACAAGAAATAAAGAAGTAATGATAAAAAGTTGATATATACTATTTTCTAGTGCTATACAAGAACAACTACAAAGCTGAAAACCACTCCTTTCTAATGTCCATGTAAATACTTGTTGGGAAATCAATTGTATTCCTGAAGTATATATACGGAAAATCTCTACCAACATGAAATTAGAGCAGAATGTGTTGTTCAAATTAGGCATATTAGCGTATATATTTCTTATTTATAATTATTTGTAGTACTTACAATGATTTGTCACTTTTGTATATTGGTGGTTGGGAATCAGGAACAATATCACTTAACTCATCTATGTGAAACATATATATTAAATTAGACATGAAATGCAATCCTAAGATTTTCTAGAACATGAAAACTATTTTAAAGGATGTCTATTGAAATATGTTGAACAATTTACCTAAACTTTGCTTTCCATTAATATCTAGATCTTCTTCACTGTAGATTATATTTTTCATTTTCTCAGCTGGAGCTTGCTATATGTATACATAATAAATCATAAACATTATTAAGATGCATATTTATTTATAAGCAGGATACAAAAAATATCCCTGATTAAAAGTGAATTTATTTTTTTCTAATAATATTCCCACATATCTATGGCAATCTGTTATAAAACTATTTTTCCAAGCAACTTTGATATCCTTTTATGTATACTTTCCAAGCAATCTGTTGGAAGATTAAGCTGTCCTCTAATTTTTTCCCATATAAAACTTGTTCTTTCTCTTCTTGCAATTATTCTACTTCACTTTTGTTTCTTTCACTTCTTCTCTTTTTTAATGATTATTTTTTTCCTGAGATCCACTTTACTAAATTGGGTTGTTATTATCAAAAACATTGTGCTTCAAATACAGAATTTTTCAACTGCCTTGTATACTTCATTAACTCTTAATTTAAAAAAAAAAACCTTACTATTTGGGGGAATGTGTAGCTTTTAAGCAAACTTTGGAAGTTAGAAAATATCCATGTAGTTTTCAGAATTAAATTTGTTGTACAAATCTAAAGCAGTTACCTTCTCAACAGAATTATTTCTATTAAGAGCCTTGGTTGCAGAAAATAGAGGTGCACAATTGTCTTCTCGGCCAGTCTTCATAGCTCTTGTCTCAGGTACTGAGAAATCTTCATTTCTTTCCACTAAACTCATCATCTGAAGTGGGGTTTTAATCTTCCCTTTTCGTGGAGTTGCTGGGAAGGAACCCATAGTTCATTTCTTTTAATGCAATTTGTACTGCTTTGTGCCATTTCCACGAAAATTACAGTAAATGAATTCGCTGTTTCATAGAAAAGAATTGTTCAAGGTGTCCTTCAGATTTATAGTGGATTAACCAATATTCATCACCCTGAGATCCTGCCTCTTGAGAACCCATACAAGATTCTGATAAACTAAATGCTACATGTCAGTGGAAGTTAAGGTGGGTTAAGCTACTGCAACCAGCAGAGGAAGGTTATAGAACAGTCTGGATGTAAACAAAATGCACTCTTGACATTTGCATTAAAACATAGGGCGTTGTTCTTCCCCAGAATCTATCATTGCTAGTAAATTGGGCATTATCATAAGAAAAACCCAGAGTAAAACTGTTTCCACAGAACTTGATTTCTAGAAATGCTGCTTATTGAGTTTTCTAAACTGTGATGTTCTTTTGTCTCTTGATGGCTGTGTGACATTTAGAAGCTCCCCTGCCAGCTCCCTTTATCCCTTTAAGGCAATACATGAACTCATATTCAAATGGTTGGGAAGTTTTCAGAACTTCTAGTGCTTATCCAAAATTCTGTTTCCATAGCACACAGGAGGAAATATTCCCTTTTAGTGATTATGGAAGACTCAATATTTCTTTATCCACCACAAACTAGTCTCCTGTTACATATAAAAATTTTGTCAAATCTAGGGCTGGAGAAAGAAGACATTAAAATGATTCATCTCAGCTTATCAGGTAAGTGTTTCCAGGCTATTTGGTTCCCTCTGTATATTGGGAACATAATCTATCAACTCACTAGGCCTTAATTGATACTACTTATGATACTCACGTTAATAGCTCTATGTACAGGGAATCATAGAGTAAAATATTTTTTGCAAAATTTGAAATGATTTTATGAGGACAACTTGACCAACCCACAAACTCACTAACATCATTTCGAGAGGCTAATGATAGCTATTGACCCATGATGATAGAGCAACACTTTCTAAAACTAATGAAATACATTAACAAACATACGGAATTAAGGCACAATGCAATATGTCATTTAACTTACAAGTATTAATTATAGGAAATGGACTCTGCACAGAAAACCTGGAAGTGGATGACACAATCATTGATGCCTCAGACATTTTCCTTTTACCAGGGGTGGTCTTGAAATAAAATGAGAAGTATCATTTAACCTAGCATTCATACATTTAATCAAATATCACAAAACAAGATTTCTTTTCTATTTAAAAGCTTAAACTACCTTGGTTTGTCCTGTTTGGAAGTCCATCTCAGTTGTTTTTTTACTTAGATTTATCTCTGCCTGAGGATATTGATGTTGAGAGGAGAAACTATTTTTTTCTTCCTGTAATTTACATTCTTTCTCTTTCATAGGTGATATCTGACTTTCTGGTACAAGAACCTAGTCATTTCAAATATTTTTTTTAAAAAATCCATTATTACTATGCTTTCAAATAAGATTATAAACTCCAGCCATCAATGAAGACATTTATATTATAAAGTAGTTGGGCTTTTCTAAACCTTTTGAAACCCTAGCCCTGATCCGTAAAATTTTAAGGATACTAGCTAGTGATTCCCTTACTCTGGTTATCCCATGGAATACATTTCCCCCCTACGATACTGGTAATTGTCTGATTTTTTTTTTTTAGATCAAAAAACTATTGGATGACTGGTCAACTGTTTGACTTACTGACCAGTGGATGGCAGCAAAGAGAGAGGAAGGGTGGTAAGTGGGCTACATAAATCTCCCATCAGCTTGCCTGATACCTTTCTCCTTTTATTCTAAAATTCCCCATTAATTTCATATGACATTAGTATAATAATGCGTAGAAGTATTATGGTTCAGAATAATCAGCCTGTAATTTCCAATTTTTAAAAATTAACTTCACTGTTCTAACAGAGAAATCTTACATATTGGGATCCAATTGTTTGCTGAATAGGGGTAGGATTAATTTTCTAAATTAATGGGAGGTTTTTATGAAAGGCACATTGACAAAAAATAATAAAATCTACTGTATACCATCTGTAGCTTCAAAATTTGCATTCCATATGTATAGCCCAGATTAAACACACGTATTCAATATTTATCATTGTAACTTAAATATTTACCTGTGATCCACTTTCATCAAAAACTACATGTACCGTTGTTTTTGCAACTGACACAGTATTCTTCCTTGTAAACCCCTGAAGCAATATATATAGGCAAAAAAGGCATTACATAAAAAGTTCATATTTCTTCTAGTTTATGTCATAACATGACATATTATGATAAAAATGTGATTCAATTGGTTTTGTTGCTTTCTCTTTCACTTGGGAAACAAATCCTCCATATTGCAAACATTTACAAAATATTTTTTCAATTCTTTCATTTTAACCTTACTTGAAAGTTGTTTTTTAAACAACTAGATGTGAAGAGTGTGTGTGCATGTACACATACATGCACACCTTTAAGTCAGCGTTGACTCCTGTCAACTACCTGGACAAATCCCTGCAATTTTTTTAAAGAAGATTTCAGAATTTTTAGATCTTAAAGATTCTGAAATCTTAGATCTGAAATCTTAGATCACCTAGCTGGCCTTGTGCCTAAGGCAGGACTAAAACTCACAATCTCCCCAGTTTTTAGTCTGATGTCTTAAGCATAACACTAAACTGGCTCTCTAGATGAAAAGTATTGATGACTTATTATTTGATATGGCAATTCAAAGCACAGGAATATTATATGATTTATTGGTTTTAAAAATGTGAACAAATGTATATCTCATTCTTTCCTTATTTTATGGCTGTTATTCAGGCAATAACTGCTGAAATTATGCTATCTTCAACTGTGTAGATAGAGATAAGTACAACCAACTAAAAATATAAACAGTTCTTAATCATTTTTATTCCACAAGAGAAAAACATATTACCTGACATTTTGATGCTTCATAAACTTTTCTTACTGCATCCATAATTTCCAATGCAGAATCGAAATGCAAGATTATTTTCTCCCCTTCCTGGGCACCAACTGACATTGGGTTGTTTAGATGTACCATTAACAATTTCTCTTTTTCTTTTTCTACACAGAAATAAATCATATTCTTTAATTGTTTATTTGGAAATAACATATTTGCTTTGCAAACATTAAAAAGATATCAATAAAATAATAAAAGTTTTTTTTCTGAAATAGAAATAGCAATTTTGAATATCATGCTTATCCTTAACATTCTGAAAATAAGAAATACATTAAAATCAAAAAATACCTTCAATTATGTAGGTCCTAACATCTTCTTCTGGTATACACACAGTTTCCCACTGTTGACCCTAGAAGTTAAATTTATGAAAAAAGTATTGTTTACTGTTATAGATTACAGCTGAAGATTTAGTGTAGTATTTCTAAAATATAGTTCTTCAGGAGGCCAACTGTTTGTCAATAGTTTGTGTTAATGATATTAACTTTTGTCTCTGGTACAGGTTTTCTTTCCCAGCAGATCAAAACAAGAATGTGGATTTGATGGTAGACTTCCGGTTGTCGGCTTTGCTAACAGCAGGGATTCGCCTTCTCTGCGATTCCTGCTGTGCTAGCCGCCTTGGTGCCTCCGATCCTGACGGATTTGGAGGCTAAGGCTGCCCTTTGGGGCAGCTGAAGAGAGGGGGGATCCGGACGGGGATGAGGGGCATCGCAAACCCCCCCCCCCAGCCGGCAATAACCCCCTTTTCTCAAGACGGTTCCAGCGGTGGTCTTTTATGGCCACCATAAAGAAGCCGGCAATTGGATAATAAAGAATGCGCAGGAGGGAGAAGGAGTTTTTCTTTTTTTTTTTAAAGAAAGTTTTTTCTTGGTCGAACTGGGACCTTAAGGATATATTTAACACCTGGGAAAGTAATGACTTGGAAGCTATTGTTCCCGATTGATGTTTTTAGCTGCGAAGAAAAGTGACGAACAGGGGAAGTTACTCTCCCTCCCTTATGGAATTAACAAATGGAAAAGGGAAACCAGCCTTTTGGTAGAAGGTAAAACCTAAACTCCTTTGTTATACGTGGGAAGGGAGAGGCTTGCGAAAATCAATTTTTACTCTAAGACTTTGCTGGAGGAGATGCCTTGAAGATAAAGAGAATTTTCTTTCCCTAATTTGACTTCACCCCTAGAAGAGAAACTGTAAAAAGAAGAAGCTTTTACTCTGCCTGGACTGTCTGATGACTGTGGGACTTTGGGACGTTTGGGAACTGTTTTAAGCCTTGAAATAACTGATTGGTTTAAGAAGAGGATACAGAAAGAGAAGAAGAAACTTTAAAATGGCTCTATCTCTTGATGAACTAAAAAAACAATATCTAAAAACAAAGAAAGAAGGCAAAGATGTTATGGGAGAAGCCCTTTGTTTCCTAGATATGGCACTTGCTATGTGTCAGCAAATTAAACAACAGCTTGAAGAAATTGAGGAAGAAGAAGCCATTTTTAATGAACTAAACGGCGTGACTAAGAAAGAAAGGAGAAAGAGAGGAGCGAAAAGGAAGGACTTAAGAAATAAAAAAATATTTATGAAAGAGAAAAAGAAAATGCAAAAACAACAGAATGCTAGAAAGCAAAAGGAAAGAGGAATGCAGAAAGGGGAAATTAAGAAGACAGAGGTTTTGAGAGGAGGGGGTAAAAAGTTTAGGCGGGCTAAGAAGGAAAGGGAAAAGGGGGAAAAAGTTTCAAAGATATAAGACAAGATGGAGATAAAGAAATTTTTTTCAGGGATAATGGGTAATATATGGGGTTTTTTTTAAAAAAAGGGGGGGATTCTGCAAAGTACACATGAGTATTCTAATAGTGGTATTTGTATTATAAGTAGATAACCAGAACTTTTTAAGATCTAATAAAAGGCTAAAATATCAAGGTATAACTTTAAAAGGTTTAATAATGAATGATAATAAGTTTTAATAAAATACTAAAGGGAATGTTTAAAATATTAGTTTGAATATAGAGTTTAATGGATTGATGTGTTGATTGTTATGGATTTATTATTGTAGTATTGGTTTTTGAAATAGTAGAATGTACTAAGCAGAATCTGATTGGGATTTAGGTGTTATTTTAAATTTTAACTTAGGGGAATGATAGAAAGGCATCATACTCCGATTAGTGATCCAGGGGAAACTATTCTTTTTTAAACTGGAAATGAGACAGATGTAAATGGAGAAATGGACAAAAGATATAAAAAAAATTTTTTTAAAAAAAAAGCAAGATTAAATATATAAAACAGAATTAAGATGAGGCAAAAGTGGAGAGGAGTTATATAATAGATATAGAATGGTAAATAAGATGGGTAATGGTATATAAGAAAAGCGTGAATATAACTGAGTCCATACAAAAAGAGGTAATCTGGGGCCAAGTTACTTTCTAGAAGAAAGTTTTATGTTTTTTATGTCTGTGTTTTATGTGTGTGTGTTTAATTAGAAGTTAAATAATAAAATCTCGGAAGAAGACTAGATGAGAATAATTATAAACAAGCCAGAGGGAAATATAAAGTTGATGACTGGATAGCAGATATATCAGAAAGGAAATATGATTGCATAATGATTAAAGAGAAACAATGTGGAATTTGGTAAAGGGAAGTTACGTGTTTATATGGAAATGGGATAAATCATAAGTATGTGATATAAAGCAATATGTTACCTGCCTTGTAAGGATCTACAATGGAAAGAGGTTTTATGTTTTAATGTTTAATGATGTTTTGTCTTGTTTGTTTGTTTGTAAAATCAATAAAACTTGTTTTTTTTTAAAAAAAAGAATGTGGATTTGATAATAACTTTCCCAAAGGAAAGTTTAGCTAAACATAGGATATATTTTTTATGTATACACAATGTTACAGATTAAAATAACAACAGTTATGAAACTGTTCTTCATCCCTCTTTTTTATTCCCAGATAATATGGATCTTAGATGAGCAGACAGTTGGTTTTGAAAAGAAATAATGTTTTGCCTGTGAATCAAAGGCTTTTTCATGTTATAAGCAGTATTAAGATGGAATTAAACAGCTAAGTAGATTAATCACAATGACATGGCAGTATGTGAGATCAAATTAAATAGTCACTAGTAAGTGCTCTGGCGTGCCAATAGAATGATTTTTTTTTTCCAAATTTGATATGTGGTACTTAACATCAGGGACAGAGGTGGTATTCAGCAGCTTCTGACTAGTTGTGGAGAACCGGTAGTTGAAATTTTGACTAGTTCGGAAAACCGGCAAATACCACCTCTGACTGGAGATTTTATAGTATCCTTCCCATGCCATGCCCACCAAGCCATGCCCACAGAACTGGTAGTAAAAAAATTTGAATCCTACCACTGATCAGGGAAAAAGAACTCTTTTGGAGACTATCTAGATCCCATTGTCAGCAATATGGACTCTTTAGGAGGACTTTAATAACACCAGCCAAACTAAGCAGAAAACACTTCCAGAGGTATCAAAAAACCATTAGAATGTATTTGCTTGAAAAATTTATTCTAATTTCCATTCCAACCTTACAAATTGGGAAAGCTGCTTAAATATTCAGTCTTAGCAGTCAATTATCTCCTCATGACGCTGTGCTAAGTATTAGATCAGTCATTTTAGTTCGTTCTGCTCAACCCTGAAAATCAAATCCTAAATATGCTGTCAGTGGTTACGATGACTTGAACAAAATAGAACAGGTTCGTCATATACATGAAAAACCCACTGGATCACCCATCAAGGAATCATCAATAATAAAACTTAGATCATAGATGTCATGCTGGTAAGATGATTGCTGTATAATGGAATGCCTAAGCAACAGCAATGGAAAGGGACTGATCTTCATCAGGAAGAGAGGGAGCATATATGTATAATGTATTATAAACTTAATAATTATTTAATTTGAAAGAAAGTATGCATCTCCAAAGAAAACCCACTGAGAAATAGGTTGATATTCTTTACTATGTATACTTTAAAAACCATGGATTCTTTTTTATGTTTTAAATATGATCATATTAAAACTTAACTAGCAAGTTGTAGCATAGAAGGAAGGAAGGAAGGAAGGAAGGAAGGAAGGAAGGAAGGAAGGAAGGAAGGAAGGAAGGAAGGAAGGAAGGAAGGAAAGAAGGAAGGAGTGAGCTATTTTAACATTTGATTTTCACAATAAATTATTCTGATAACTAAAAAGGTTGCTACAATCTAAAAAGGTTGGATTCAATAAAGAAAACTTAACCTACTTCATCATCTGCAGCAACATAAAAGGATATACTTTTACTACCAACGTTAAAGTCAATCCAACATTCTTCAAGGTTTTCATCTGCTGGCATCTGTAGCTATAATAGAATCAGATTTTTTAAAAAAGAACCACTATAAATCTTTTATAACATTCTGTAATGTTCTCATTGTAATAATTATGGGTTATCATGCCATGGGTAAGTTGATCATACTGTATTCACTCTTCTTGTAGAACAGCTTCAGTGCTTTATTTTAGTATTTAAACTTCAGTTTTATGTTTGAAAATAGGAGCTGTGATTTAACATTGGTTTCAAACTCAAGTTAAAGCATAAGGCCAGAACATAAAGCATAAAGCAAAGGCACAAAGGCACAAAGGCCAGGACTTAAAAGGAGGTGAGAAAGGATATGAAGTTAATTGCCATTCTCAGTTTAGCTAAGTAGCTAATCTCTATCCTAAAATAGGTTATGTCTGAACAGGCCCTCTATGTTGTGCTGATGTCTGCATTCAAATGACTAAGTTCTAATATTAGTTTAACAACATTCTGTTCCCATTTCTAAATCAAAACTCTTTGAATTATTACCAGTCAGATGCAAAATTCCTGAATTCAAATAAAGCATCACAAGTTTCATATAATATATTGTGAAATATAGCCAAAAGAAAAGAACTAACCTCATGTTTACCAAGGGCAGCTGATAAACAAGGATAGGTAAATACCCTGTAAAACAGTACAGTATTTTCATAATTTAATCACTTCATTCTTCATCTCTACTCAGAAAAATAGAACTCCCATTTCCATTCACCCTTTTCTTTGGGGAAAAAAATTAAAACATATACTACTGATAAAATCACCCAAGATTTTCCCTCCATAAGATATCTGGAATACTACTTATTATGTAATTGGTTTTATCCTAGCCTTTGCCATACAATACGACAGACCCTCAAAATACTAATGAGATAAAATTTAACTGGATGTACTAATTAAGTTTCATTAACAGCTAATGCTACATCTGGATTGCTGATGTTGGCAAACATGAATAAAAATGCCAAAGAATGACTCATTTTTTTAACTTATGAAAAGCCATGTCTACTTAGGGTGTATATTCTGTCATTATACATTATACAAATACAGATTGTATTTGGTTAATGTTATGCATACCTTCTTTCATTATATTCTTCATTATATTCTGTCATTATACATTATACAAATACAGATTGTATTTGGTTAATGTTATGCATACCTTCTTTTGTCTCCAAGCATGGCATTAACTTTGTTAAGGAACTTCCTGCAGTCCTGTTTAAAGAGAAAAATAGTATAAGCCCTTTGACAATTTTCCTATTTTGAAAGAACCAGTATTTGAATTTGACTTACTGTTTCAAACTCAGAATCTTTAATTTGTTTAAATGCACTGCTGACAAAATCCATTGGAAACCACTGGATTGCCAGCTCTCTTCTTTGTTTTTCTGACGTCATTCTGCATAATGCTTCAGTAATGGCAACTTGGAGATCATAGTCTATAATATATATGGCAGGAGTATTACCATAAAACGTTTTGATAGTAATTAAATATTACTGCCTGAAAATTAACCACATACACACATTCACAAACAATACATATAATTCGTTGCATATATCTAAACTACTCAATGTAGTATTCATAGGAATGAATATATTTGTGGACACGTTTCTTAGCACCCATAAGAATCTCTACCATTCTATTTGAATTTTTTAAACATTCTTTTGCATTTAACAAAATGGGAAGCTAGCTTATAGGCCAGTACCACCTGCATTTTCAAGGCTCCTGAGCTACATAAAAATGGTGACTGGCTATTCTTCAGTTCCTTATTTGAAAATATCCTTAGAAAAGCTATTTTATGAAATGGTCCGCCATCTGCTCTTAAAATTCCAAACACAATCACTAGCTTAAAACACAATTTCTTTCAACAGCCCTTTCTAAGCAGTTTACAAAGTCAGTCTATTGCTCCCCAACAATCTGGGTCCTCATTTTACCAACCTCGGAAGGATGGAAGGCTGAGTCAACCTTGAGCCTGGTGAGATTCAAACTGCCAAATTACAGGCAGCCAGCAGTCAGCAGAAGTAGCCTACAGAACTTTATTCTAACCACTGCACCACCACAGCTCACGCTGATGTATTAATGATTGGGTGGAATATAATGAACGAAATAATGTCTCTACTGGCCCTATGAAAAGACTGATTTATGTATGGCATGGAAGCTATAGAAAACCTGTAAAATAAAACTTAGATTTAAACAGCTCTGAATAACATTAATACATATGTTGAAATCATAATCTGTGCTTACCCCCAGCATCCAAAATTCTTTTCCCCATATCATTCCTGTCAAATAAATACCATGATTCAGTTTGACTGGATTTTTAAACATGACATATATTATAAAATTATGTCTGCTTAATGCAATTAACCCATTGATTCTGGACAACTTACAACTGAAAGTAAAATAAAGTCAAAAGACAAATAACAGACCAGAAGCAGTTTGAAGAAAACATATAAACCCCACAACTCCACCCAATAGGGACTCAACCATTACCCTGCCCAAAGCCTGGAAGTGCAGTCTGATCTTTAACTTCTTGAATGTCATCAGATTGAACACCAACCAGTTCTCAGAGGGTTTAGTATTTTCAATCTAAATTTCCAGATGATGCCCAGAACTAAGAACAATCTAGGCATGAAGCATTGTTACGTGTTTAAGAATTATTTCTTAAAAAGCATGTATCCAAACTTATTTGCACGTATAGTTTTTGTTAATAATGATTTGTCCTTAACTTTTTATTTTATAGAAAAAGGAAGAAATAGAAATGTTTGATAATAGCTATGGATATGATTTAATAATTATTATTTTCAGTAGTTTATATATTTTATTGATTATTGGATTTATCTCTCTACATCTCCCTTCTTTTATATTTGCTTCTTCACATGGACCGATCTCTCCTTTTCAGAGCTTTTAAGGTTAGGAGGATTGAAGTTATAGATAAACTGCATGCATTTATTAATCAACCTTTCTCTTAACCAGGACAATTTAGCTTATCGTATGATTTTGTTCCATAGGGGACAGATCATTAAAAATGTTTATAAGTTCTATTTCTTCAGGAAAGGAATTCCTGTCTATTATTGGATTGTGTCAATTAATCTATAGGGATTACAGAAATATTCTTACAACATCTAGCTATTCAAGCTCTTTTGCCTGAAGGAGACATTTAAATTGATAAACCGTCTATCTTATTCACAGAGTCAAAAGCTACCAGTGGTCTTGCACAATATTATAATACAAATATTCCATTTTTAAAGTATCATCTGAAGCAAGATGAAAATTTGAAGAAGACTCCCCAAATGCAATCTTTGTTCCATCTATGAGAAGACGATTTTGGAAAGTGCAATGGGATAGCCATAAATCAATTTAAACGGCGTATAAGTTGTGGCTAATTCAAAATACAGGACATTATTAATAATGAACAGAACAATATAATATTTACATCAGCTATTTAAGATTAACTTTAAAAACGTTTAACTTTGAACAAATTTTGCTTAAACATAAGTGAAATTATCTCAACATCATCCTAACAAGATTTTAGGTTTCCACAAGGGATCCAGGGTATATATTAAAGTTAAATGTGAACATTATATTAAAGTTAATTACATGACTTGTAGCATTTCCTTTGTAGAAATTGTTTTCTTTCTAATATCTCGAGGCATAGCAGTAAGCATGGTGTTCAGTTTTCTTACTGCCTAAAGATAATAAAAACAGGTAATTGAATATTAAGCATATTTTAAAAACTCAGTGTAATGCCCAAAACACCTTTAAATACCTACATAATGCAATGAAGGAGGTTTTAGTTTTAATTACTGTGCTTTTCAAGAGTTAGTTGTGCTACATGCAATTATATTTCCTAGCACAATAAAAGCAATCAATGGAGCAAAGGGAAGACCTTCCCTTACAAGGGAAGTAATTTTTAACACAATCACAATTACCATCTAAACAAATGTATTGAAAAATAAACCGTGGAATCAAAATCAATGGTTACCAGAATCAATGCTGAGCAGGAGCAGAGGTGGTATTCAGCAGGTGCTGATTAGTTCTGGAGAATTGGTAGTGGAAATTTTGAGTAGTTCGGAGAACCAGCAAATACCACCTCTGACTGGAGATTTTACAGTATCCTTCTCCTGCCACGCCCACAGAACTGGTAGTAAAAAAAATTTAATCCCACCACTGAGCAGGAGGTAGTATCAAGCCTAAGGTTTTGCTCTGCGGGGTTTCTCAGGGCTCAACATTCTTACCTCTATTTAATATTTACAAGAGACATATCTCAGTGTCGACCTCCAACTGTCTGAGGTTAGGTATAATCAATATACAGGTAGTCATTGACTTACAACAGTTCATTTAGTGACCATTCAAAGTTCCAAAGGCATTGAAAAATGTGACATGACTGTTTTTCATAGTTATGACCCATGATCACATGATCAAAATTCAGATGCTTGGCAACTGACTCATATTTATGATGGTTACAGTGTCCCGAGGTCAAGTGATCACCGACCTTCCAATAAGCAAAGTCAATGGGGAAGCCAGATTCTCTGCCAGGTTATCAACTTATCAACTGTAGTGATTTATTTAACAACTGTAACAAGAAAAGTCATAAAATGGGGCTAAAACCCACTTAACAAATGTCTCACTTTGCAACAGAAATTTTGGGCTCAACTGTAATCGTAAGTCAAGGACTACCTGTACTGATAACACCCAGTTGTACACCTTGGCCTCTGGCTTTACCAAGTGATGCCGTCAAGATTCTGTCATAGTGTCAAGAGGTTGAGTGTTGAGGTCTGGATGGGAAGAAACAGCCTGAGGCTCAATCCTAGTAGGACTGAGGAATGGAGAGTGCAGGGTTTTCCAGGGACTCTCCAACTTTAGTTTCTGGATAGCACTACATTTCTCTACATGTAACCTATGTTTTGAAAGTCCTCCCAGCCCTGTAGTTCTTCTCAAAGCGGTTGTAGTAATGGTTAGAAGGATCTTCACAGAGTTATGGGCACATTTGGTATAGCTGTATGAGACATCTTTATCTGCAAGTTGCACTGACTGCCAGTTGGTTTCCAAGTGTAATTCAAGGTGCTGAAAGTATCTGTAGAGTTCTTTGTTGCTCAGGACCTAGATATTTGGAGGCCATCTTTTTTTCATTGTTTCTGGACACTGTTTAAGATCACGAAAGGTCAGTGTGCTCTGAGTTTCAATTGACAAAACAACGACATATTATAGGCGTACCATCTCTGTTGTCATGCCTGCCATCTTGGACAGGATTTCTCTTGAGGTCCATGTGATCCCAAGTCTGCTATCATTCAAAAGGCCTTAAAAGTTGGCTCTTCCAGACACCTGCCCAGAGTAATACTGTGAAGTTACTGCAGCGGAATATAATTTTTGTCTTCCCTGTGTATGATGGTTTTGTCGTTTTGTTTCTTTCTTGTTATTATGATCTGCTTATTAAACTTTTTGTTTATTACCTTAAACTACTTTGCAGTTGGGCAGCCAGTTATTGGACAAGTAAATAGATGTATCTAATGGAATAGCATTGTTTTGTTTCTTTTTATCCCACTTTTCTTACTTTTATAAATGACTCATGGTGTTGAGCGATACGTGATAAAATACAAATACAAAGTTTCAAATTATGTACAGCTAGTCTTTAACTTACAACCACAATTGAGCCTGGAATTTTGGTCGTAAATCATGGGTTCGTAAGTTCAGTCATCATGTGACCAGAGTTGATTTTATGACAATTTTTATGATGGTTGTTAAGCGAATAACTATGGTCATTAAGCAACTCATAGGATCATAAGTCCATATCCAATTTAACCAAGAGGAATTTTTTTGCTGGATTGTGATCATGTGACTGTGGATCACTTTAACTGGTGCTAAATACAAGCTTGCTTGCCAAGTGCCTGAAATGCAATCATGGGATTGCTGAGGTGATGTAACAATCATAACTTCAAGGATGTGTCACAAGTAACTTTTTTCAAGTCTGTCATAACTTCAAATAATTGTTAAGTGACTGGTCATATGTCAAGAACTAACTATAAATAGTACACAGGTGTTCAGAAAGATGAATATTTAGATACTAGAAATTATAGAAAGGAACAAATAGGTAAATAAAGTACATTACTGAATGAATATATCTGTATGGTTAATTTAAATCAATGCAGTAGGGTTTTAAAAAAATAGATTTCCTCTTTTCCTAACATTTAGAAGTGAAGCTTGAGTGCTAGATCTAATATCCTATTCAAATATCTGAAACACAGAAAATTAATATTGCAATTAAAACATAGCAAGATAGCTAATTCAAAGTTTAAAAGCCAAGAAAAATAATATTAAAAAGAATTCTTACCTCCTGCTGAATATAAATACTAATTCTCTTATCAGCGGAAAGAGCGCTTATTCGCAATAGGAAATTTTCAAGTGTTTGAATTTTACCTAGATGAAAATATAAGGCATTATTTACAGAATCATATAATTAAACTTCAGAGACATTCACGATCATTGATATACATGAAAATTCAAGATAAAATAGGTGCATTTAAATTAACTTCAGAGGCATTCACGATCATTGATATAAATGAAAATTCAAGATAAAATAGGTGCATTTAAATTACAAAATCATTGTGTCATAATTGATTTTCAGACATACCTTCACTGTTGGTATCATGTACTACCTACAATTAAAATAAACAATATATTAAAATTGCTTTGCACACAGAAAATAACTATTATACTCTAGTCCTGGGTAGCACATGCCACACTGTTTCAGAAAGTTTGTCAAAAAATAATAAATAATGCATTCTTTTGGATATACATAAATGGGACCTATTCTTTTTGAGATTAATGTAAAATGAATTCCTAAGTGTTATAATCATCATCTGCATATGGTAAGAATTGAAATTAAATACATACTTTAAATTGTTAATCTCAGTCCATCTTATTCTAGGCATATCAATGAGGAAAAATAAAGCCAAATATGAAAAAAGCTTTTCAAAGTAATGTGAATATTAAATTTATCACATAATTTGTGAAAGAATATATATGGGATATATTTACCATTAGGACATCAAAGAAATCTTCAAAGAGAGTAGTAAATGCCTCATTACATTCACAGTCTTTTTTTTTCAAAATCTCTTTGGCCTTTTCAAACCAATTAACCATGTACAAAAAGAAAATAAAAATTGTACAATTACTATGGCTATATGTTCATTTATACAAAAAATAATTGCAGAATAACATTAACAATAATGTTAAACCATTAAGCAGTCAAACAAATGCAGATAACAAACCTATGCAGACCTGTTATCTATTGTAATTAGTCTTAGAATTATTTTCCAATATTATATACTTATCTTTTGAATAAGACCATATTCAATCATGGCTGGAAATCCAACTTCACCTAATATGTTAATATTTCTGCCATGGTTCTGAAGAGTATTCAACAAAGTGGAAACATTGTTAACTTCTTCCCTGTCAAGTTGCTGAAATTTTTAAAAAGTGCACATAAAGAAAATCAAGACTTGTTTCAGTTTTGATGCAAAAATCCATACTAATACAATAACAAAAGGTGGCGTCTGAATTCTACAGCAATTATATACTATCTTAACAAGTTTATCAAATAAATATATGCCTGCACATCAATAGAAAGTTTGCTATCAAATCTGCAGAAAGTTGTTCTGTTTAAATTTGTACCATGCAGAGATTGTGTCAGGGAATTTATTAAAAATACAATTTAACAAGGAATGCCTAAGTTGTATAACTGTATGTGAGTTTTGAAATTTTGTGACTATCAAAATCACATTATAGACTGCTATAATAAAACTATCCTGTTTTCAGAGCACCATCTTTACAAAAAGCAAAAAAAAAAAGGAATGAAAAAGGCACAGGGAATGTGAACAGAGGGGGAATACATGTAAGTCCTTGACTAACAACAATTCATTTACTGATCAAAGTTGCAATGGCTCTGAAAAAAGTGACTTATGACCATTTTTTCACACTTATGACTGTTGCAACATCCCCAGGGTCATGTGATCAAAATTCAGTCACTTGGCAACTGGCTCATTTAACACACATCTCACTTAGTAACAAACATTTTGGGCTCAATAGTGGTCATAAGTCAAGGACTACCTGTATTTATTTTCCCTTCATCCTGCTTTGCTGGAATAATGTTAGGAATTGTTCAGATCAGTAAAAATGTATCTGCTTTAATGACTTGGGAAGAGATGCATTATATACACTTCTGCAAAACATACCTTTAAAAGAATTTGCACAGCCCTGAGTTTTCCTGGTGGGTCAGAATAGAACACAATAACAGAGTTGGAAGGGACCTTGGAGGTCTTCTAGTCTAACCCCCTGCTCAGGCAGGAAACCCTATACCATTTCAGACAAATGGTTGTCCAATCTCTTCTTAAACACTTCTAATGTTGAGAATTCACAACTTCTGGAGGCAAGTCATTGATTAATTGTTCCAACTGTCAGGAAATTTCTCCTTAGTTCTAGGTTGTTTCTCTCTTTGATTAGTTTCTACCCATTGGTTCTTGTCCTGCCCTCAAGAGTTTTGGAGAATAGCCTGACTCCTGTTCTTTGTGGCAACCTCTGAGATATTGGAACACTGCTATGTCACCCCTATTCCTTCTTTTCATTAAACTATTCTCCAATTTAAGTGTTCAGTAAGTCTTAATCTGTT